TCTGGAGATGCACCACGAGTTGTGATAGAACAAATCAGACGTCCAACTTGCTTGAGCCTGAGCAATATTATCTACCACTCCTATTTACAGCGGCGTCGGGGAACTCGACTGCTGCTGCTGTTGCCGCCGTTGCTACCGCTGCTGCTAGTTTTTACTCATCATCTGGTTGATGTTGTCATCTTGGTGATCAGGGACTTCGAAGTGCTTACTTCTCGACCACCATGTGCTGTTTATCGAGGTCCCTGCCGGCCGACTTGGTCTGCCCCTCGAAAGTCTCGTGCCTCCTCATTCCATGATCAACTCTCAATCTAGTCATCGGATGCCGGATATGCAAAGAGGATGGAGGAGCCCCCCAACTGCATGCGAGGTTCTTCACCATCCCAAGCGCGAGGAGATTTTTACGCTGGCGGCCCCAGAGATCATCGTGTTAAAGACTTAAAGAAACGTTTTCCGGGCTCCTCCCAAGGCCGGAGGGCCATCTTCTGAGAAGGGCCGGCCCGGACCGGCTGGAGGCTATCGAGCCACTGGGTGGCCTCACGTTGCTCAAGGGCGACTCGGCCCCGCGACCCAAGGCCGTGCTGAAGGCACAGCCGGGTCAAGCCGCCAGTCAGCACGTTTCTGCCAATCTTGTGTATGCAGGCTTTGAAGCACGTGCCGGAGAAAGCCCAGCTGCTGGACCTGCTAGGTGCTCTGCTGCATGCAGCTGGAAGCTCAATGAAGGGCCTGAAGAACTGCAAGCTTTTGCGCAGTCGATCCTTGCATACCTCTACCAAAAATCGGTTCGAGACGCTCGGCGACAAGGACCCTGTGAAGCGACCGAGTTCTGCCGCGCTGGCACGGGCGAGGCACCTGCAAGCCCGTGTTTATTTAAGATGAAGTCGCAGAGACATGTCGCCTGGTTGCTAGGCCAACCCCAGACGAATGGAGGAGCACGTCACGTTGTTTCACGCGTTATACCGTGTAAAGCACCTCTGCAGATCTACACATGCTTATCCTTCGTAGATGTTCATTTTCGGATTAAGCATCAATTTTTTCAGATCTATGTGCGTATTCGTATATATACATATACACACACATACATATGTATGTATACATACGTATACAGATGCACATAGAAATACATGTTAGATTTTACGCGTTATATCAGTATAACACCTACTGCATTGTCCACTCTTGTTTGCCCTTTCATTTTCTTTGCTGCGTATTGCTGCTTGCACTGGCATTGCGTACATGTTGCTTCCACGGCGTGTGCTAGTATTTTGTACCTCACGGTAGGCCCTAGTTACTGCAAGTCTACATAGTACACATCACCTATTATCTCCTTCGTTGATATAAAACATATGTGTATATGTGTATGTATACACACAAATACACCCTGTCCCTGCACCTACACCTACAGATGCATGTACATGTACATGTACATAGACCGAGACATAGAGAGATACACACGCGAGTCAGCGTGTTGATATGTTTGTACATACTCATATTGCACATATTCATAAACCGTAGATAGATAAAGAAGTACATACAAATATATAGATTACAAACATATGTAAGTGAATTTGTTTGGTGTTTCTGTTTTCTGTGTTCTGCTATTCTGGTGTATGTATTCTGGTGTATCTATGTGTGCATGTATGTACGTCTGCATGTCTCCATGTCTGCATGACTTTGTGTCTCTCTATACATATGCATGTGTGTACGTATGCATGTATGCTGCATGTTTTTATGCGTGTATTGATGTAGGTATGCAGGTATGTATACATGTATGTACGGTGTACGGGCACAGTCCCTTTCAGTACACCACAGCCAAGTAGCCCAGCCTTTGTCTAAGACACGGTTTTCTGTAAGACGTATCTCCAAAAGACAGGAGTATGTGTAATACAGGGTTGCTGCGGGACAGGGATTTCTGCAGGTTTTTGTTGGACTCTGCTACGGAAGGGGTTGTCTTCGACAAACAGAAATTTTGGCTTGGCTTGGTTTGGGTCGTTTTTTTGGCTTGGTTCATAGGGGTCCTATGCTAAACAAGGTATTGCAGTCATATGTGTATAGACATATATATATACATACATGTTAGAACTGGGTATAAAGAATTGGAGAGACGTATGTGCATTTGTATATGTCTTTAGTATATGTATATATGTGTATGTGCATATGCGTATGTGGATGTGTCTGTGTCTGTCTGTGCATGTGTATGTGCATGTGGATTTGTATGTATGTATGTATGTATGTATGTCTCAATGCGTGCACCTGCGGTTTTCAGCTCGTACTTACCGTTATTTGGAAGACTAGGAAGGGTGTTGGATTCACGATTATGGGACTGGCTATTGCCCACAATAGACTGGAGTGAGTGCGGGTGACCGACGTCTCTTGCTTCTGAGAATTGGTTTGTTTTTTGTTGGTATTTGGCGGCGGGGGTTTTCTGCTTTTCTTGGTTGTCATGCGTGTGGGGGACTCCATCGAGGTCATTGTCAATGCCTGTTCCAGAATGTTTGTAACATCCTACACCTCCCTAACCCCGAAACAGAGCCGCTGGAGCTTCCACGGACACAAACATCTAGAATCGTACAGATCGTGCTGCTTCCGCTGGTGAATCAAGGTGATAGTTTGGTTGGACTGACGTTTCTTTTCATGCAAGAGGCTCGGAATTTGAAACAAGCAACTTCGTTTTGGTGTTTACTCGTTGTCAAATTGCTGCTCAAAAAAATCAAGCTTCAAACGCGACCTTTGGTGTTATTAAATTCCGCCCTTTATGGTCGTAGCAAATATGAACAATAATGAAATTGTAAATTTGATTTTGTCAAGTTTATCCCTGGCTAGATAAGCAGGTACTCGAAGTATGCACACGAGTAGTTCCTGTTGACTCGCTTTGTCGTTCTTACAAACCACGTGGTTTACATGTCAGCATCAACTATTCTTCGATGTGTTTTCTTGATTCGTTCTGGTTGCCTGGTTTCCATCTATTCTTAGCACATGATCTACATCTTCTCTTGTGTCACTCTATGTCACTTCTAGGAATCACAGCCTTCAACACACTCGAATCGACAATGCGGTAAAGAGCAATCTTGAGTGTTCTCGATGTTTAGACTGAGGGTTGTTGATACTGTTAAGCTTTATTCCGGTTAAGCTGGGCAGATCGTAGCGAAAGTCCCAGCTGTCCCGGCTTTCAATTCAGACCAGTAGCACGGTTCAGGGATGCATAGTGGCTTTGTGCCCACTTCGTTTAACTTACATTACAGTGAAAGAACATAGCAAGTACATTTCTCCATGAATCGCTTTAAGCAGCTTCAAGGGACCACATGTTTCAAAGCCCTCGAACCGAATTTAGTTGAAAGTTTCCAAGAAACTACAGAGTGTGTTTTCTGAGGGGAAACCCGTTCGGTCTAGTTGTTTTATACACATTTCCCAGACGCAGCTGCTTGCTTGTTGTTGTTGTTGGACACTACTTTAGAATAACGGCATTAATGTGGCTTAATTACGGAAGGGAGTTTTACCAAACTGTAAGTCGAGTCACGGCTATTGCTGGTTGAATGATGCAGTTGATGATCTTTCAATTGATGTTCAATGCGGCTGTGTATGCTATGTCTGCTATGTACTGAACAAGCCTGATCGAGCCTAAGCAGAAACATGTATTGATCAAGTTTGAAGGAGGGCGCAACATTTAACACGACAAGTTATCCGTCATGCCAACAAGTTAGACAAGACACCGTCCCAGCAGTTGGATTGAATTGCTTGCCCGTCGGCAGGAAGAGTTTAATCGATGAGACACTCGTTGGTTTTACTTCACAGTCACAGGTTCCAAGGCAAGCTACTTCAGCCGGCGAATGTCCACCAGCCCCTGTTTCCCATCAGCAGACCACTCCAGGAAGAATACATTGTCAGATTCTGTCCCAGAAGCCCTGTCAATACGGGAGGGATGTGGGATACTTTTATGTACACAAACATATACATATGTATATATATATATATACACACATGTCTATAATGTGTATTAATGTATGTATGTATGTATGTATGTATGTATGTGTGTGTGTATATGTATGTATGTATATATATATATATATGCTCGTGACCGTGATACAGTGACGTAATAGTAATATAAGCATGTATGAACATGAACATAATTTCACAGATAGAGAAATAGATTAATGCAGAAGTACACAGATAAATGATCAAAAGTTTGTATAGAAGGATATGTACATATGTATATATATATATACACATATGGACATAGCATACATTGTTCGACATTTTGGCAGCTGCATTGCATGGAACATCACTCGTCGTTTGTCGATAATGCATTCAGTAGTTACCTCTCAGCAGGTACTGCATAAAAATGAATATCAGGGGTGAGTCTGTTTATGTACATGTATACACATAGTAATCGTTTTGAAGCAAATGGGTTGCACCCGAGATCTCCAGGAGTGACTGTGAAGACACGGCTGCTGGTCCCGCCTCCCTGGAAGATGAAAGCATGCAGGCGACACGGCACAAAATGCCACAGCCAGAGAAATTATACGAGCACGAATATTGGTGTTGATAAGACTGGCGACTATAGCTATGACAGCAGCAGTAGTGAACGTACCCGTTACCGTAGAGAAAGCGCAGCAACGTACTGATCGGACGAGCAATCTAGAATCGAAAATTCGAGCATATTTGAATGGCAGTGGCATTCCTGGGTACAGCAATAGCAGCAGTAGTCGTAATGAGAAGATACACATGCCTCGAGCCCATCATGCCTACAGGCAAAGCGAAAAGAGATCGAAGGCAGTAAAGAAACTGCTCCTCTGGCGCCTGCCAATAAGACCGTGGATTTCAATGCGGTCGGCCGGCTCAGGATGGAAGGGCATGGATTTTTTCTCTTGCCCGCAGAAGACTGGAGGTCCCGGAACCGGAGGGTGTCTCTCCATCCACAGCAGCTCGCAAAGGCGCCGGAGAAAGGTTTGACGTGGTTCCAGGAGGGTCAGGCCAGGCAATTCCCGTCCTACTGTCTGCCTGTGCAGGCATGGGTTTCGAATCGGCGGTCGACCTGCCGTTGACAGACGAGGAGGATGAGCCAGAAGAGGAGGAAGCCGTAAAGTTGGGGGAAGATGATTTTGTGCTGTTGGGGCATGCATTGAAGAAGGCACGGAGACACGACCGTATCGGTGTTGTACTGTGCAGGCCGAAGGCGGCAGAGAGGCCGCCCCTTCGGTGCCTCCCAAAAAGAGCGTGGACTTCGATGCCGCCGGCCACCTCAGCTTCGAGGCACGCGAATTCCTGCAGAGATTGAAGTCTTGAGGTGCCGGAGCCACGAAGCAGCGCTCCGTCCAAGGCGGCGCGCAAAGGCACGGGACATGTTGTTCTGAGCTTTTACAGGCCAGCAAGGCCGGCAAATTGGGACGAAGGTACCGGCTTCGTATTGACATCCGACCTACCGTTGACGGATGAGGAGGATGAGCCGGATGAGGAGGAGTGAATACATGCATCTGATGCTGTTGTGCTTTGTCATGTCTGGTCGGCTCCTACATGAAGGCTTTCAGTCGTGCTTCTGTACTCTGCAGGCCGAAGGCGGCAATGAGGCCGCACCTTCCGTGCCTCCCAAAAAGAGCGTGGACTTCGATGCCGCCGGCCACCTCAGCTTCGGGGCACGCGAATTCCTGCAGAGATTGAAGTCTTGAGGTGCCGGAGCCACGAAGCAGCGCTCCGTCCAAGGCGGCGCGCAAAGGCATGGGCAGCATTGAGCACATGAAGACAAGAGAGGAGGGAAGGTCAACTTTCGTGCGCATGTTGGCAAGGCACGGGCTTCGTATTGACGGCGGACCTACCGTTGACGGACGAGGAGGACGAGGAGGATGAGAAGGCAAGCGCACCTGGAACTGAGGATC